AGAAAGGAGAGTTCTACTTAGTAAGGGTTATAATCCCTAAGCGCGGCCGAAGGCAGCCTACGCAGAAAGAAGTTCTGCGCAAAAATACTTCCGGCCCCCTTTTCCGGCAACATAGAAAGGAGAATTCTACTTAGTAAGGGATATAATCCATAAGCGCGACCGAAGGCCGCCTATGCAGAGAGAAGCTCTGCCCAAAAATACTTCCGGCCCCCTTTTCCGGCAACGTAGAAAGGAGAAAAGCCAGGAAAAAATCCGAAATTATCCATATGCAACATAGAAAGGAGAAAAGGCAGCAAAAAATCCGAAATTATCCAAAACAACAAACCGAAATATTGCATATGTGAAAGACGAAGTAATGCATACATGTCCAGTTTCGGATGAAAACCGAAATAATGTATATAACAAAAACCGAAATAATGCATGGATGTACAGTTTCGGTTGGAAACCGAAATAATGCATATGAAAAATCCGAAGTAATGCATACATGCACAGTTTCGGTTGAAAACCGAAATAATGCACATGAGAAAATACCGAAATTATGCATATACATGCTTTCGTTTTAAAAGCGAAATAATGAATATGAAAAAAACGAAGTAATGCATACATGCACAGTTTCGGTTGAAAACCGAAATAATGCACATGAGAAAATACCGAAATTATGCATATACATGCTTTCGTTTTAAAAGCGAAATAATGAATATGAAAAAAACGAAGTAATGCATACATGCACAGTTTCGGTTGAAAACCGAAATAATGCACATGAGAAAATACCGAAATTATGCATATACATGCTTTCGTTTTAAAAGCGAAATAATGAATATGAAAAAAACGAAGTAATGCATACATGCACAGTTTCGGTTGAAAACCGAAATAATGCACATGAGAAAATACCGAAATTATGCATATACATGCTTTCGTTTTAAAAGCGAAATAATGAATATGAAAAAAACGAAGTAATGCATACATGCACAGTTTCGGTTGAAAACCGAAATAATGCACATGAGAAAATACCGAAATTATGCATATACATGCTTTCGTTTTAAAAGCGAAATAATGAATATGAAAA